TGCCTTTACTTGCTAAGATGAAGGGTGAAGTTATTTTATTTTTTTTCTTTTCCTTTTTTTTTCCTTTTGTATTTTTCTGTTCATATTTTTTGTATTTTGTATTGGCTTTTATTCTTTTCATTTATAATTCTTAATAAGATTATTTGAAAAAAAAGAAGAAACTGTATTCTTGTGGTAGATCTATCGAATTCAGCATTCTACACTCCTTGTGAACAAGAAAGGTTAATGAGATGCCTGCAAGAACAACTCAAGTGGAGCAGCATCTTCTTGTACTTGTTCTCCAGCAACTGGTGCTCCATGACGCACTGCCTCTAACACTGGTCTCAAAACATAACCATCATGACTGCACACCATAGTAGCTTTATCCATGTGATCTTGGGAAGTGCAAGTTGCAAATGAGGAGATTGCTCAACATCAAGAATACCAAGGTGGCCTCCTTGGCAGCAAGACCCTCCCCATGAGTCCCAGTGTGGTACTGTAGTACACATGTTAGATCAGGACTGGAGAGGTTCAAGTCCAACATACGCCTTAGAAGCTCCCTGAGAGGCTTTGGACCAGTTCCTCCCTCACACCCAAGAGCCCATGGTGGTGTAGTGGTGAAAGGGCTGGAGTGGAAGCAGGAGGTGCCAGGTTGTAGTCCCCCTCCACCACTAAGCTCCCTGGGGGGACTCTTAAGCCCAGTCATAGGGCTGTTATAGTTGATGCTGGGAAGGGAAACTAGGAAGTGCCATATATCCTGACTGAGCTGATGGAGAAAGATGATGACCCTGACACTGGGCTTCAGGGAACAGCAGAACACAAGCAGGTCCAAGCTGAGCATATCACATTTTTAGGTAGCTCCCAACTGAGACTGGAATCTGCCAAGTTGATTTCCTACAATGTTTTAGAGGTAGCATTTATCCTAGGTCATTATGGGAAATTTGCACATAAGGCTGAATAATGGGCTGTCACTGTAAACAAGGAATGAAAATCCTGCAGAATATGGCTTCTGAAATTCTTTCTGCACCTTTAATAATAGCGCTGCTCTGGGTCATGTGACTAGGAAGTAGGGGATGAAGAATGGAAGAGTTGGCAAATTTCCAAGCTGCTGCCCAACTGACCCTTCCATAAGAATGCATTGGGTAATGTTTTTCTCCATAGCCCCTGGCCTGATCCAATCCATTTTTAGGCTTCTTTTAACAATCTAGGCAAGAAATTGACATAAACAGATTTCCAAGACAGAGCTTTGATAAGAAGATTTATTGTAGCAAAGCTATGGAGCCATTATGAAAGAATTCCATTAACTTCTAGGTATTAAACACAAGCCTTATTTATAATGAAATCAAGTTTCAGGTTCTTGTACTTCTTTCTCCCACCTGCATAGGGTAACAACTATGAAGCCATTTCTCTTCTGGGTGGGAGGAACCATTTTCGTGTGCCTTCTATTTTTATAAAGGACTACTTTGGTTCTAGGCTGTTTGCTTATGACCACTGAAGACTGGTTTTTATATTTTCAAACTCAATCTTTCTTTCCCCAGCTTTTTCTCCCCCTTGAAATCTGATCCCATTCTGTTAAATTTTCAGAGTTCTCTTGCTGGTGAATAGGCAGATAGACAGTCCCAATCCCCATTACATAATTTGGGTTGGAAAGACTAAAAACCAACAGGTATAGCCAGGTCAAAACCTATTCAGATTTAATTTATTTTACACTGAATAAATTCTCAAATAGTATTACCATGATTTCAGTCATGTCTTAGGCAATTTTCCCTTTTTTCCACATTAAAAATTATAAGTTAATAATCACTTTTGCAGGATTGCAACCAAAGCTTCTGCCTGACTTCTCAATGGAGACATCTTATAGAAAAGAAGCCAGGGTCCAGAAGGGGAAGCAGCAGGTCGTCTGGGAAGTCCATTGTCTGAGGGACTCTTAAGAGGAAGGTTTAGTGAAGGATGGTTGGAAGAGCAAATGGCAGAGAAGATTGAGAAACAGAAGAGCTGAGTAGAAAAAAGCAGTGAGAAGAGGCAGAATTGAGAGTCATGGATAAGAGGTGTCACAGAGGAAAGTGCCCAGATTG